AATTGTGCAGTCTACAACCTCTCCAAATCGAGACAAATACTCAGTAAGGTCTTTCTTGCTTGTATCCCAGCTCAAGCCTCCAATAAACATTTTACTAGAAATGAAAGTTTTGTTGTTGTTTTAAAAAACGTTAGCAACTCAATCCACCTCAATTTGGGGATAATTCAGACTGGACTGTCAGATTATGTGGGGTGGGACGATTTAGGGGGTAAGGAAACTTAATGCACGTTCACAAACAATAGTAAACAATGGCCCACAAAATGTCAATATTCCAACTCGCTCGCTACACTGCATAAAGCCAAGTTTTGAGTATTAGGCCAGACCAATATGGTAAAGGCTCTGCTCAGATTTTCCTAGTTCAAATCCATTTCCTAGACTCATCTCTCCCAATTTAGGACCACCCCCTTCCTCAGCTGTCAAGCCACCTGCAGACACTCATCACAGGCTTTCTCGCAATCTGGATGCCAGTCGTCTACGGGTCCCCAGCCCAGGGGTTCCCAATGTCCCCCCGGAACACGGCGCGGAACAGAAACACACACACAATGAAGCGGCGGCGGCGGCAGCAGCTGCAGCATGTGGCGCAGCAAGCCCGGCCCCTCCCCCTGGCCTCACACGGCGCCTGCGTACTTGGGACACAGATGCCGCCACCACCATCAACCCCCCCGCCCTTCCCCCACCCTCATTAGCTCTAGAGTCGCCCCCTCCGTCTCCCACTTTCCTCTTTCCTTCAAGCTAGAAGGGACCAGTGAGCACGCGGGGAATGGACTCGGGGCAAGAATGGGGGCAGCGCGCGGCTCTCAAAGGACGGAAGGGCGCGTGCGGCGCGCTGGGGCAAAGGGAGAAGCGTGCGGTACCCGTCATCCTGCTGATTCTTGCTCGCGTTTATCTTGGATCCCTCTGCGAATTCCTCTATGTTGCTGTACTCGTTCATGTCCTCCATTGCGGCGGAGCGGTTGGCAGGGGGGTGCTGGCGCGCAGACCGTGTCGCGGCAGTAGCGGCGGCGGAGCGTTGTATGGAGCTAGATTTAAAATGGCGGCGGAAGAGATCTGGGCGCCGCCTGCGCCCTCCCTTTATAGCCGCCCCGCCCGCCAATCGGGAGGGCTGCTGGGCGGTGACGTGGCGCTGGGCCCGGCGCGCCCCCTGCCGGGCAGAGCTGGAAGCGAGCGAAGGGAGGAGCGGGGCGAGCTGCCGCGGCGCCCGCGGCCGCCAATGGGAGAGGCTGCGGGAGGCTAAAGTAGCGGGAGCGGAGGGAAACAATGGCGGCGGCACATGGGAAAGTCGGGGCGGGACCTCCATCGCGGCCCTCCCGGTGAGGAGCGAGGTCGCGGGTTAGGGGACGCGGGTTCGTGAGGAGAGGAGAGTCAGAAGGAAAAAACGATGGGGCGAAAAGTCCTTGGGCCAAAAATCCCGAGCAGCGCCGTAGCAGAGCTACAGTCCCTCTTGCCTTGAGAGCCTTTGTCTCTGGCGTCCGATCCAGCCCACTCCTAGCAAAGAGCCGTCACCCCCGCCTTTTTCCTCCCTCGTTCCCCCAGTGGGGAGCTGCTGCTGCGGCGGCTGCTATCGCTTAGAACCGTGGCCAAGCTGCTCCGGAGAAAGGCTGTCAGCGCCTGGCGCTCGTGTTGAGCCGGCGAGCGCGCCCATCCGCCGTGCGCACGCGTGTTTTGTCCTCGAGCTGGCTGGAACCAGCCGAACAGGAAGCGGGTGCCAGGCAACCTCTTTGAATAGCGGCGAGGCGCGGACGTCTCTTCCGCTGCCGCCAGGGGCACGCTGGCGAGGGGGCGCGGCAGGCCTTCCCCGCCGATCGGCCGGCCCAGGACCAACGCAGTCAGAAAAATCAGGACCCCACAGAGCCTCTGGGCGCTGAGGAGGGTGGGAGGAGGGGCGGGGGCTTGGTCAGATTACAATAGATATGCAAAAGTGGAGGCAGTGGGCGGGGAAGGGGTTAGGTGCTGTAGAGGGCAAGGGGCACTCACATCCCCGGCGCGCCACTCGCGGCGTTCCAGTCTGCACGTGCCCCAGGCCTCTCCACCTCGCTCAACCAGTCTGCGGAGAGCGCGCACCCGCGCACCGGGCTCCCGCGTTCGCTTCTTTGTTCCCGCCCACGCTAGGCCCATTTTGACGGATCGGGTTCGAAGCCTGCTGTGGCCAATCGGCGTTGGCGCCTTTCCTCCCCCCGCCCCCTTGGATCCCGGCGAAGGCCGCCCCCTTTCCTTGCCCACGTGGTCTCGGCCTCCTGCAGTCCATTGCGCGCTAGTTCGGGGATCCTGTGCCGCCGCCCTTTTTACTTCCAGGTCTACCGAGATCCTTTCGACCCTAAACACTGAAGGCCGCACGCATTTGCCAGCTCCGAGATTTTTGCGAGGCTGTTGGGCACCCGGGACGGTTCTGGGGCTTACAGCCACCATCACCCACCCTACCAGTAGGCCGATTCCTGTAGTAGCATCCGGCAGGGAAATGGTCGTGCTTTCGGTGCCCGCGGAAGTCACTGTGATCCTGTTAGATATCGAAGGTACCACAACCCCGATTGCTTTCGTGAAGGTGAGGGGCGGACGGGAGCGGGGAAGTTACTTGTGCTTAAAAGCAAATTAAAGAAAAGAAAAAAAGGCATTGCAGACCTTGCACTGGCGGCGCGAAGCTTAGAAGGAGGTGGTTTTGCACAGGGAATGGAGAAGTAGAAAAGCTGCGGCGGGTTGTGGGGGCTGCAGCACCATTTTCTTCCGCCTACTTCCATGTGTGCTCTTGGGTGAGATGCTGTTGGATGGGAAGGGATGACGAGAAAGGGCCGAGGAGAACGGGTGACCTGGAGCGAGATGACGGAGGCCTGAGCGCCCTTCCCCGGCAGGTGCGCAACTTGTCGCCCACCAGGTGAGCGGACTGGGCCGCTGTTTAGTCCCTGAGTCTTTAGCCTGACTTCAGTTAGCCCTGCTGTTTTCGGAGATCGTGGTTGCTCGATTCCCTCTTCTGTTGCAGGCCTAATTGCACGCTGTGTTAGCTTAACTCAGCGCTGGTTTTATTGAGTTACGGAACGCTTCTGAATCCCATCCACTTTGCCCAAAAACCATGGAGCTCGAAGCTTAAATCAAAATCTCTAATCAAAATCACTTAATGGAACTATCGAAAACATGCCTTCTAGGAAGTAACTGGTGACACTTGTCTATACTTCTATCGGAGTTATAAATCAAAGCAAGCCCCTTATGTATGTTCTTAAACATATTTGTCTGTCAGAATAAATGTCAAATGGTAGTAAATTTTTCTAAGAATTTCTCTGACCTAGCTTCGTCTTTATTTGATTCCCAGAGGTTTAAGAATTCATTTAGCATAAAAGTAGAAACTAGAGGTACTTGCATACAGTAATAGTCCGAAGATAGTATTTTCTATTTTTAGCAAAGTAGGAAAAATCGTCATTTTCCAACAAACTGAGGGATCTTTTAAAGTTTTTAAAATTTTAGTTTTAATTTGTATAATCACTTTCTTGATGTAGGTTATAATATAAAGTCGACGTACACTGTTAATTTTTAGAACTCTGGTAGCGCAGTGGTTACGAATCGTGCTGCTAACTTCAGGGTCAGCAGTTGGTACGTAGTGGTCATGTAGGGGCAACTACCAGCTGTTCGCGGGAGAAAGAAGAGGTTTTCTGCTCCCGTAAAGATGTGCAGCCTCGCAAACCTGTGCAGAGTCACTATGAGTCAGAACCTACTCCACGGTACTTACCAACAACGACAGCAACAACAACATGTATTAGGAGTCTTGGCTTGGCGCTGTAGGTTAATGCGTTGGACTGCAGAGTCGGTTTGAACTACAAGGTGGGCGTTTCAAGCTCGCCAGCCGCTCCTCGGAAACCCTTTACAGGTTCGCTGTGGGTCGGAACTGACTCAACGGCACTTTACAACAACAACATAGAATATAATACTGCATATCACCAACCAACTATATAATAACCTAAAGGAGTAGCGTAGTGGTTACGAATCGTGCTGCTAACTTCAGGGTCAGCAGTTGGAAAATACCAGCTGTTCCGCGGGAGGAAGATGAGGCTCCCTGCTCCCGTAAAAATTTACAGCCTCGGAAACCTTGTACAGGGTCGCTATGAGTCGGTTCCGACTCCATGGCACATAACAACAACAACAACATTTAATAACCCAGTGTGGTGGTGTAGTGTAACCATTGCATTGGTAAGCAAAGTCGACAGTTGAAAATCACAAACTGCTTCTTGGAAACCCTAACGGTGGCTATGAGTCAGAACCAACTCAGTGGGACCTAACAACAACATAAAACAACCATTTACAAACTTTTTTAGAAGACTAGTAGTACCTTAGTATTTTAGCATAGATATTTTGAAGAAATGTAATTTGGCATTATCAAGATTACAAATGCTGATAATTGAATTGACATTGTTTTTCCTGTTGAGTAGGCAACTCCATTCTGACTTTTTCTTTCTTTCCTCTGTCATCAAAAGTGACAAGAGAGAGTGATTTGACATTATTTTTATGTGCTGTTGAGTTGTCCTGACTCATAGTGACCCTGTATAGGGTTTCTGAAGCTGTGAGTGTTTACAGGAAGTAGAAAGTTTCATTTTTCTCCTTTGGAGCAGCTGGTGGTTTCCAACTGCTGCCCTTGTGGTTAGCAGCCCATTTCTTAGAGAGTTAATCGGAGCTTAATCCTTAATAGCAGCTTTGTAACAATAGTATGCCTCCTCCTCCCCTCATTTTGTCTTCTAGATGCCATTATAAACTACGTCTTGGAATCTTTGTCTAAGGCAAATTTATTTTGGATTATTAGGAGAGTAAAAGTAACTGTAATAGCCTAAATCTAAGTTTTTTGAGTTTGACACTTATCTCTAAGTAAATTCAAGGCAGGCTGCAAAAGAAGAGTTTGTGGATCTTGTTTAAAGTGTAGTTATTTAGACTCATAAGGTCTAGGTTGAGCATCCCAGGTGATCCTAATGATTAGATTGGTCTGAGAACTATTGCATGCATCCTTACAGGAGCTCATTCTTTTCCTGTTGACAAGGCATATATGGGGGGACTTCAGAACATTTATGGAAAATGGAATATTTCCATGGACTTTTGTGCGATTCTTACAAGGCTGTCGGAAGCCCAGGACGGTTCTGGGGTTTGCAGCTGCCGTGAGCTTCACTGCCAGCAGGCGATTCCTGTAGTAGCATCCCGCAGGGAAGTCATTGGTGTGCATATATCTTCTCG